TGTTCCAAAATGATTATGTTTGCAAATCGGGAAACAAAATCTTCTTGCATGAAATTCTAGTGGCCGATGCTAGATTTCAGAAGATTTGGGTAATCATGATGTTTGCAAATTGGGAGACAAGGTTTCGTTGCATGAAAATCTAGTAGCCGATGCTAGATTTAGAAATCTTAGAAGTAATGATTACTAGATTTCGTGCAATAATTTTGATAGCTAAGAAATGATTAAGAATCTAGTGCAATGATTACTAAATCTCACGTTTTTGAAGGCAGATAATTATGATTTGACAATTATTTAAATAAGACAAGAATTGACTCTTTGGATAAAACTCTCAGGGGTATTTTAGACAGTACAGTTGAACGTAATCAGAGAAATTTTTGGACGATATTGAAACCAAATATATTGCATGTAGTTATCCTAAAATGCCGAACTCAGAAATAAATGAATATTCTATAAAAATAAAAATCAGCATCTATTTAATTATTTCGATATTAGCAAGTCAGAATTAGCAAGTAATTACGATTCAAGAGCTATTAGCTAATTTACGAAAATTGGGGCGTTACAGCTCCCGCTCCACGGATATAATGTGTGTAGTATTGAGCCCAAAAGCAACGTTGTTAGTTAGAGGCCGAGTCAAGAGGAGAGTGTGTGGCTTGTGGTGCACTCACGCTTACTGTTGGTGTCACCACTACCTTCTTTTCTGCAAGGTATTTCTACTGCCCCCATCTTCCACACCCTTAGTGTATCACTAAACCATTCATAGTTTCCAATCATTCCAAACACCATTACAATCACATCCAACATGCCATTCACACACATTTCCAACCATTCAAATTATTCGGCATAATTCAACGGCATGCAACCACACATAGTCGCCCACAATAGGTTCAATCATTTCATCATACATCATATTCAACATCAACCACATTGTATTCAAACACACAATATTTCCCATCATAATCCATACCTATCAATTCATTCCATCATAAACACTATTAAACATATGATGAATCCACATTTATTGGATTTTTACTTGTCATTTTGATGTTTCTTAATAGAAAAAGTAAACTTAGGAAGTGTAAATAACATAAAAACATCATTTGGGTCAAATATCATAGGTTTCTTAATTTTTGGCTAATTTACATTGATTTACATAGATATAGTTTGCAATTTTGATCATTTGAATAATTGTGCAGGAATTTCTAGACTTTTTCTATGGATTTTTAGCATTTGAGAAAGTTTGAGATGAAAGTGATCACTTTGGATCCCATAGTGAACACTACAACAAGCTAAGTCCAAAAGGGCAGACTAAAGTGATCACTATGAACCTATAGTAACAACTACAGAGACCCAGTTTGAAGAAGTGTTGCGCATGCTTACTTTGGAACCATAGTAGACACTCTGGAGTAGCCAAAGTTATCACTCTGATACCAAAGCGACAACTCCAGAGAGGCCAAAAGTACAAGACTTGTGCGTGGCTACTATGGAGCGATAGTAACTACTATGGAGCACTGTGCGTTATCACTATGAAACTATAGTAGTTACTATGGGCGAAAATTTCTGCACTATTAATAGAATTTTAGAAATTAGGGTACGGGGGCTTTCACACACTTTTAGCTTATTTTGCCATTTTGGGGAACACTTGCAGAGCCTAGGGTGGCCTTGGGTGACAGCCAAGGATCCAACCTAGGGTTTGATTTACATTTTCTTCTTACTTCTCTTTGATTTTTACATTGATGTTGTTGATTTCTCTTAACTTTTACTTTGTAATTGTGAGACCCATCTTCATGGAGGGCTAAATTTCTTGTAATCCCTAGTGAGTTCACTTAGATTCTTGAATTCTTGGGTTTTGAATGTTAATACAAATCCTTTTCTTTCATGAATTTCTTCTTCCCAATCTCTTGAATTGAATTAATGGTTGAATGAGGGAGACATTACTTAATTAACCCTAATTCATTTTAATGAGATTCTAATCTTGAATTGCTTAATTCTAGGTTTATTTCTAAGGTTGCATAATCTTAGGATTAGAGATTGGAGTCCATTGAATTGCTTAATTTCTTATGAGAAACTAAGGTTGATTTTCACTTGTTAAATTAACCTAATTCTAGGAGAAGAGGAAGAGTATTAAATCTTGAGAGGAATAGGGATAGAGTCTATATGAATGAACTAGGGGTTACCAGTCTTTATTGATTGAAATTTATAATTGTTTCTTTCTCTTTACATTAAACTTGAAATCACAAAACCCCCTTTTTTACTTGCTTTCTGAATACATTGCATACTACATGTTTGATATTTGGTTACTCATCCAATGATTCATGGGAGACGACCTAGGTTAGTACCCTAGTATTACATTAATTTCTGTTTATATTTTGGTGAGGATTCACGACAAATCTTTTTGTTCATCAACATCCATCACACTATATTCTACACAATCTTTGCATCAAAATCTCACCACAATCAAATCATTTTCATTAAGACATACACCTCCTACGTTTCAATCATTCATATTACAACACATAGCAAAATAATGAATTTCAAATACAATGAGATAGGGTAGAGTCCCCCTTACCTCAAATCGAAGAACCAACATAAAATCTATGATGGAAGTGTTCTCCACATGGATTTTGGTCCTAAGTATACCCCATAAGAAATCATAAAAAGGATGGAAAATCATAAACTCTAATACTCAAACTTACCTCCAAATGCTCCAAACGTGATTCTAACCTTCAAGCTAGCTCCCAAATGGCTTTACAAGCAATTTAATTGGTGAAATAGGGTTTTGAGTTGAGAGAATCGGAGAGAGTTTGAAGAGGGGGATGAGAAATGAGCTTCCCAAACCCTAACTAAACCCTCAAATACACTTCTGGTCGCGATGCTCTCACTATAGTGAGACATATCTTGCTCCAGCGAGGGAAAGCGACACCCCTTCTCACTACAGCGAAAATATTAGAGGAAACTGCACTCTAGTTTCTGCAGAATCTCACTATAGCGAGACACTCTTGCTACAGCGACACTACACCCAAAAATGCACCCCTCTCTGTTGCCTTCTTGCTATAGCGAGAATGCAATTGAATCACTTAGTTCTCCTAAGACCCTCTCGCTATAGCGAGAACGCCACAGACTCATGCTCTACGCTTAGAGCCTTCTCGCTATAGCGAGAATGCCTCTGCAGCACACACTTAGCCTATTTCTCAATCACTTTCAAACACACTCAACCATCAATCCATAATCAATATTCACAATCACACTTATATATATCCATCTACACATATTCATATTCATATATTCATTTATGTCCACGCCACCACACATATACACATACATTCGCATCATCATACTTATCAAGTACACATTCAAATAGCAACCCACATACTTATATTAATAATCAAAACAATATTACAAAATTTGGGACATTACATTCTCTAATCTCCTTTTCTTTGATAACGTCTCTTTCATGAATTTGGCATATGATGGCATTTGCTCTAATACTTCAGTAAAAGGAATATTTATTTGTAACTTTTTGAATACATCAAGGAATCTTTCAAACTACTTCTCTTGCTTAGGTGCTGCACCCTTTGAGGATATGGAAGCCTCTTAAATTTTTTTCATCTATAGGTTTACAAGCTTCTTCAAGCAGTTGCTTCTTTGTTTTTCTCTTAGGTTTAGGAGAAGTTTCTTTCTCTGAATTTTCTCTTTTCAGCAATGTGAAATTCCCTTCTTGTAGTGGAAACTTTGTGCAAAACTCCATATTTCTTCAACAAGACCTCTATGATTCTATTGCAAAAGTGATTACCCGGGTCACTAATGATGGCTCTAGAGATTCCAAACCTGCAAAACAAGTTGCTACAGACAAAATCTGCAACAACCATAGCATTATTAGTTCTGGTGGCCTTAGCTTCCACCCATTTTGAGACATAACCAATAGCAAGTTGTAACATCCTCAAAATTTGGTCCATTTCTTTTAACAAACTAACTGTCCATTAATGTATTTAGTAGAATTTTTTTTTCTTTTCTCTCTTTCTCCTTCTTTTCCCTTCTTTTCATTCTAAGTTATGCTTTATTCCACTGCTATAATGATGTTGTTATTTATCTTATTATTATCTCTTTTGAAACATACCTGAACTCCTCTTGCCAGAATGAATGTTTTGTAACTCTCCTTGTTTGTCTTAAATGTCCATTGTAATTACTTTCATTATTCCAAGTAATGTGATGTAAATTGTCGTAGACTCTTTTATTCTATTCATACATCCTAAAAAGAAAAGAGAAGAATTGCATTAGGTGCAGTCTTTCTACCTGATTAGGAGCATTTTTCGTCTAACTATTCATCTTCCCACGCACTCCATAAATTGATATGACTACTCGTGAAAATTAACTCTAAGTGGAGTGTTATAAATTAATAAGGAAAGAAGTAAGGGGGCTGAAATATCACTCGATTATCCATAGCGGAGAGAGAGAAAATAGACTTAGTGGAGTGGTTATATGATTACCCCTTTTAAAGCTGAACATTATGCTTAGAAGGTTACTATTTGACGAGAAAGACCGTATGCCCTTAGTATTATGTATAAACGTTTATATAAATAGGAAGGCCACTGTTGTTTCACTCCTTTTCTCACAAAGACGCCACTCGAGTGAAACACTAAGAGACTACGAGATCAATTTACATTTCACAGAAACTATACCTCTTCCAACACTCATTTCATCCCAAAATCTCTCACCTTGTCACTGCAGTAGTGGATCAAAAGATTTCACATTCAGAATTCTGCTGCAACGGAAGGAACCTCTAAGTTTCTCATTCTCCTTGTGATCAAACAAGGAAAGGGGAGTCTGATGTTTTGCTGTTAAAATGTAAACATGTACTAGTGTATATTATTGGTCCTCTATCCATCAACTACTCCAATCAGGTTGCATACGTGTTATACATAGTTGAAACTAATTCCTATGGTTTTAGAATTTCGGTTGTTTCCTACTTTCTTATATGCCTATGACTTGCTTTTCAAAGTTTTATGGCTTGGAGAGAGAAGAATGCGACTATTGATGCCCTACTTGAAAGAGTAGTTGGGATTTTAGAAAGGAAAAATGAGCCAGCTCCTAATTGTGGGTTGTCCGAATTTCATAAAAACAAACCCTCCCAGTTTCGTGGCAGGTTTGACCCTAATGGAGCTCAACTTTGGCTAGAAGAACTGGAAAAGATTTTTGAGGCCATGGCATGTTCAAACGAAGAAAAGGTCGCCTACGCTACTTTTATGCTCGCAGGAGAAGCAGAACACTGGTGGAGAATTGCTCGCCACCAACTTGGGACAGAAGGAATTATAGCAGATTGGCAGACTTTTCGTCGCAGATTTCTAGAGAAGTACTTCCCTGCAGATCTTAGAAGGAGGAAGGAGCTGGAGGTCCTAAATTTGAAACAAGAAAGTATGAGCGTTGGGGAATATGCAGCTAGATTTGATGAATTATCAAGGTATTGCTCCTATTTCATGCATGCAGATGACCGGGCCCAATGTTCTAAATTTGGAAGCGGACTACGACTAGATATCAAACAAGCAATTGGCTACCAACAAATTGTACACTTTACAGAACTGGTGGATAAGTGTCGAATCTATGAAGATGATACTATGTCGCGACAAGAGAAAGGAAATCCGCAATGGAAAGAAGCCGTACATTCATCCCAATTGTCAACGAGGAAATAATCCTTCTAGAGTTAAGCAGCCGAATCATGGAGATTCAAGACAATCCGAATTAAAGTTTTCAATTGTGGAGGCCTTCACCTCAAGAGAGAATGTTGCTGTGATCCTGTTACCTGCTTTAAATGCGGACAACGGCAAACCAAAGAACGATAAGGGTGGAAGTAACAAAGGAGAAGTATGGAATGTAGGCCGTAATATTGGTGGCAGATAGACTCAGTCTAGAAATCAAGGCGAGCCCAACAATAGCTACGCTAGAAATTCACTTGGAAGGCCTAGTACCAGAGGACGGGTATACACCATGAGCAGTGCTGAGACTACTCATTCTGATAGCCTAATTCAAGGTAAGTGCACTATCAATGGAATCTCTTTGAGAGTTTTGTATGATTCTGGGGCGACACATTCATTCATTTCCAGTGACTGTGTGGGATGGTTGAATTTGCCTATTTTTTTATGAATTTTAACCTTCTAGTTTCTACTCCTGCCGGTGCCTCTATCATTACTTCACTAATTTCTCGAGATTGTCATCTTCTATTAGAGGGTCGAGAGTTCTTTATTGATCTAATTTGTTTACCCCTCTCTGAGTTGGATGTCATTTTAGGTATGGATTGGTTTTCTACCAACCATGTTATGTTAGACTGTCTAAACAAGAAGTTAGTTTTTAACTCTCATAGTGTCAAAGGGGCCTAGAATAAAGGTTGGGAGAACCAGACTCCACTTCTCTTTTAAGCTATGGAATGATCACTTTCACTAACAATAGTGATCATGGCCAGCTTGCATTCCATAATTCTTGTGTTTTGAGTCCAAAATTGCTACTTTTCCTTTTCCTATCCAATGATCTTTCATTTCCATGAACCTTGCTCAGATTATTCCTACAAAAAGAAGATTAAATTTCTTAAATTCTACACAGAAAACTCAACTTCTAAAACAACTATGAATTTAAAGAAAATATTCAATCATTATATTTTTATGAGTTTTTCTGCTTTTTCTAACATATTTTCCTAATGAACTGGGTTAAAACTACATTAAAATATTAGTCAAAATACGGATTCATCAATGAGTATCTAGTTATGCCCTTTTGCGTGGCTAACGCTCCAGCTGTGTTTATGGACTACATGAACCGTGTATTTCACCCTTATTTGGAACGGTTTGTGGTAGTCTTCATCGATGATATCCTGATTTATTCGCAGAACCATTAGAAACATGAAGAGCATCTGAGAATCATCTTGAAAGTTCTACGTGAGAAACAATTGTACGCCAAGCTTTCAAAATGTGAGTTTTGGTTAGAAAAGGTGAATTTCTTAGGACATGTCATTTCCAAAGAAGGCATTGCAGTTGACCCATCCAAGGTAGAAGCCATCTTACTTTGGGAAGCACCCAAGATGGTGACAGAGGTCCGTAGTTTTCTAGGACTGGCTAGGTATTACCGCCGATTCATGCAAGGATTTTCGAAGATCGCCACACCTTTGACCTATCTGACTCGAAAGGACAAACCTTTTGAATGGAGTCAAAAGCGTGAAACTAGTTTTCGAGAATTAAAAGAAAGGTTGACATCAACCCCTGTTTTGATCCTCCCAGACCCTCAAGGGAAATTCGAGGTATACTGCGATGCATCTCATCAAGGTTTAGGGTGTGTGTTGATGCAAGCATGACAGGTAGTGGCCTATGCATCTAACAATTTCGTCCTCACGAGAAGAACTACCCAACACATGATTTGGAACTAGCTGCAATAGCCTACGCCCTCAAAAGTTGGAGGCATCATCTTTATGGGTCTAAGTTTGAAGTGTTCAGTGATCATAAGAGCCTAAAGTACCTCTTCAATCAAAAGGAAATGAATATGTGCCAATAAAGATGGATGAAATTCCTTAAAGATTATGATTTTGATCTTCAATATCATCTTGGGAAGGCTAACATTGTAGCGGATGCACTGAGCAAAAAGACGTTGCATGCCTCAGCAATGATGGTTGAAGAATTGGAACTTCTCCAATAGTTCCAAAACCTCAATCTGGACGTTCAAGTAAGATCAAACAACTTGATTCTGGGGATGCTTCAAGTCACCAATCAATTTCAAGAACAGATCAAGGTTGCCTAAGAACAGGATGAATTTCTTTAAGATAGACTGAAGGCCAAAGAAGTGGGATGAGAGCCTAATATATATAAAGATGTTCGAGGACTAATTAGGTATACAAAAAGAATATGTATACTGGATAGGAGTGGGCTTAGGTGTATGATATTAAAGGAAGCCCACAAAAGTCAACTTAGCATTCACCGAGGGACGACGAAGATGTACCATGACTTCAAGAAAGACTTTTGGTGGCCAGGAATGAAAAAGGATATTGCTAATTTTGTGACGTCATGCTTAACTTGTCAAAAGGCCAAAGTAGAGCATCAATGACCAGCTAGACAATTGCAAACACTGGAGATTTCCGAGTGGAAATGGGACGATATTACCATGAACTTTGTATCAGGACTTCCAAGGACACCGACTGGCTATGACACAATATGGGTGATTGTAGATAGACTCACTACGTTTGCACACTTTATTCTAATTAATAGAAGGTATTCTATGGAGAAGCTGACCCAACTTTATATAAGGAGATTATTCGTATACATGGGATCCTTAAGAGCATTATTTCTTATCGAGACCCACGTTTCACATCCAGATTCTGGATTACTCTACATCAAGCTTTAGGGACAAAGTTGCACCTTAGCTCAGCTTACCATCCACAAACCGATGGACAAACCAAAAGGACTATCAATCCTTGGAAGATTTACTACGAGTGTGCAGCTTGGATAGCAGTGGAAGTTGGGATAGGCATTTGCCGCTAGTTGAATTCACCTATAATAATAGCTACCACTCCAACATTGGCATGGCTCCGTTCGAAGCCTTGTATGGGCGTAGATGTAGAACACCCTTATGCTGGTTGTAACGCCCCGATTCTCCTGATTCAGCTAGCGACCATTGAATCGTACTTGCTTGCTTACTCTGCTTCTTTAGTATCGGAATAATTAGATGGAGGTTAAATTGAATTATTTTATTTTATTTTGATAAGAATATTGAATTATTTCTAAGTTCGGTATTTTAAGGTAACTGCATGCAAACATATAGTTTCAATATCGTCCAAGGATTTTCTTGAGTATGTTCAACTGTACTGTCCACACTGCCCCTGATAATTTTATCCCGAAAGTTAAAATTTTATCTTATTTAAATTGTCAAATCAAAGGTATTTGCCTTGAAAAACGTGAGATTTTGTAATCATTGCTAAGATTTTGTAATCATTCCTTAGCCGTCAAAATTCTACACGGAATCTCACGAAATCTAGAAATCATTATTGTAAAGATTTCCAAATCTAGTATCGACCACTAGAAATTCATGCAAAAGATTCTTGCCTCCCGATTAGTAGACAAAATTATTCCGGAACTTTCTAATCGTGCCTTCTAAAAGGCCGGCATCATGATTACTCCAATTAAATGCTTTTCTTGAAATCTGCACCATGTCAAATGTCCCTTCGAAAGTCAATCTCATCACATCAAATTCCTCGTCAGCCAATCACATTGCATGCAATTGCTGCCTAGAATCTAGCCTTTGGAATTTTGCGCAATTCTTGGAATGTTTTACTCCATACCGTGTGCATGTAGCCTCCACACTCCTCCATGCATTTTGCTTGCCAAAATGTGATTGCTTAACTTACAAGTTTGCAAAAGAATTCACTATTCATGCACAAAAAATCGTGACACCCTTATTATTCAAGTTTTTCACCAAATTCCACTTCCAAATTGCTTCAAATTAATTTGGTGCAGTTTTGCATTTGAATATTGCCCCACAAAGCCCAAACCGTGAGCATTAAGTTCTAATTGGCAAAGGGAAATTAAACACTCCATATAAATAGTCCAAACCACCTCATTTTCTCTCTTTTTTCACTCAAAAACCGTGAGCCCTCCACCCTTCCTCTCAAAAATCTTTTCAAGTTCCTATTCTCTCCATTTCTTCAAAGAAACCGAGACCCTCCCTCCCTAAATCTCTCAAAAAATTCTCATCCTCTCAACCTTCCAAGACAAGCCAAGGAGCTCTAAGCTTTCACTTTTGCATTCTCTTGCTTGATTCTTCAAAACCGTGACCATTCCTTCAAAGAGGTAAGCTTTCTCATCCTTTTTCCTTCTTTGATTTGAAGATCCATGGAAGCATAACACCAAAAACTCCTAAAAAGCTTCCTTTTTCACTTGATCCTAACCATTTGAAGCTTTTCCCCTTTTTTCTCTTCAAAGAACCGAGGAAGACAACCTAACCAAGAGGAGAAAGATTGAAGTTTGAGACTCATCCTATCGGTCCAGCAACTCTCCTTTGAAGAACCAGCCAAGATCAACTCATTTTGCTCCTAAATTTTCGTCACAATCAAGGCAAGGGGGAGTTCTCACAATTGATGTGTTTGCATGTCCATCTCTTGGCTGTTTTTACATATTTTTCCTTAAAAAAAAAATAGTGTGTGTTGGACTGCATGTTGGAAGAACTTCAAATCTGAACTTGCATGTTAAGTTTGATCCAAAAAGAGTATGGATTTCCTTGTTTGCATGTCTCGGTTACTTCCTAAAGAGTTTGATTTCACTTTTAATCAACTTTAATTCCTAAAAAGCTTGAAACTTTGATGTGTGGATGTGGATCTTCCCTTGTGCATGTCTCGGTTTTTATGTTCCCTTGGTGGAACCTTTGAATTAATGACATTTCCTTCTTGAAACCATGAACCGTGAACTTGATCAACATATTCTTTCACTTGCATGTTAATTTTTAACCATGAAATGCTTTGGATCTCTTTGTGCATGCCTCGGTTTCACCTTTGTTTGGCTGGATTCTTTGTTTAAAATGTTGATTGACCCTTGTAATCAATAAACCTTGGATTGCATATGAAATGGAAGCCATTGTATGTTGATTTCAGCCCCTAAGTGTTTCGGTTTTCTCTTAGAATTTGAATGTCACTTGGAAATGTTGTCCCTCCACTTGGACGATGAAACTATGTCATTGCATGTTAGTTTCCTTTATGTTACATAATTTTTAATTTGATAAAAATCTAGTGGAAAAGCTGGACAGATTTGATCTTGCATGGAAAAAGCCTAGAATATTGAACTACACTTAGAAATTGAAAACCGTGTTGGACTTTGTGTAATTTGCATGGTTGCTTGTTAGTTTGGATGATGGATGATTGAATTGATTGTGATGGATGTGTTCACTTGGTTTGAAAAGCTTTATGCATGTGGTGTTTTGGAAATTTGTGGTGGACAAGAAAGTGAGAACTATTCATTCTCGGTTTTGATGATGAGAAATCCTAAAAGTTGTACTTAAAATTGTGATAATTTTGATGAAATATGGGTGATAAGGACTGCATAATGATAAGGTGTGTTTGCTGTTTGCACTTGAATCCGTGAGCACTAAGATGAATCATGCATCATGTTCATTACATTATACAAGGAATAAAAGGAGAGAATCAAGCGCAGCCCTTTTTGATGGAAAGTTTACCTAAACTAAAAGGATAGTAAATAAAGGTATGGAGATGGTAATTAAGGGACTGAATATAGTAGTTAATCAATAAAAGTCATCCTTAGAAAAGATCTCACTATTAGCTTAATGGAACCTATTGCGTGAGGACTAATATTAATGAACCTAAAAAGAATTAGAACGAAACTAAGTAACCTTGAATTAAATAGGTAGTCGGGAATCAATACACGTAATTAGAAAATAACTAAATGGAAAAACCAGAGAGATAGAGAAAAGTGGAGATAAGTCATATTTAAAGTAGGAGGTAGTAAGGTTAATAACAATGGAAATGATAAATTGAGTAGTGTTAATATAGTAAGTTAATGTAATAGGATTTGGGTGGGAAAATCTGAGAGGGTTGTGTCAAAATCATTGAGAATTATGTGTTGGGAAATAGTGGATGTGCATTGGTGGGATTGGAAGTTTGTGTGTGATTCCTAAACCTTATTGTTTAACAAATTTATGCTAGATGAGAAAGTGAATAGTGATTGAGCAGGCCTTGTGAGGGCTTTGTTTCTGTGCTTGAATTCCATATGACCCAAGATTGAGAAAACGTTGAGGAGAGAAAGGAGAATCATACTCCATGCATCATAACATTTCTTTGGAACGACTTGATGGCATAACAGAGGCACAGCTGTAGGTATTGGAGGTTCGGTCCCGAGTAGACCTACGGGGGTGGCGAAAGGGGGAACAGTCGACCTAGATGGTGCAGCAGAGCTCTCTGTGGCCGGGTCGTGACCCTACTTGCAAGCCTTAGCCAAGCCCGACAAGAACTCCACATCCTAGGGTCGTTGAGGTCCATTCCCGAAGAGACCCAGTTTGGGGCCAGCACCAGTTTGGGTGTTTTTGAATAATGATGTAAATTCTTTTCTGCGCGATTGTGATGCAGGGAATGGAGTCCTCCGATCACCATACGACTTGGATATGAATTTGTGAACTCTACATTAAATGCTGGGCAAGTCGCTGGCAGTAGAGTAAGGGATCCCCATGCATACCATGTGCATTAACGCGAAAATTTGAGGGATGGATAGTGAGAGACGAAACTTGCATTCATGCATCATGAGCATTATTAGTTTGATGAACCTAGGAATTGTCTGTGAGAAGTATGAACCGACCTATATTGTATTGATGTTTGTTCTGAGATTGGATAATGATGTGACTTGAGTGATGGTGTGAAAAGCCACCTTCCTTGAGGTACGGCTATTGGATGTTTGCTTGTGTTTGGAGAACTCACCCCTGTTTGTGTGTGTTGTTGTACTTTTGTATATGTATTGTACAGATGACCAGTTTCCGAGTGAAGGTATGGATCCTGCCATCTGAGGAGGACGTTTGGGTGTTCGACGCGGCAGCACAGCAAAGCATCTTCCATGGAATGGCACGGGTGATTCATGGACAAGATGTCGGACACTCGTGGACCACCCATTTTATGGTTGACACCCCTATCGAGCTTGTTTTCTCCACCCCACCTGGAGACTCCCACCTACCTTATCCTGCACTTGCAGCTACTCCTTCTCCCATGTCTATTGATCCCCGTACTCCCAGTTCTAGACCAGTACCCACGCCTGTACCATTCCCTACTGAGGAACCTACTCCACCCCCTGTGACCACTGAGAGAGTTACATATATGGCAGAACCCTTAGTGAGGAATGATGATGTACTGCCCCACATGCTCCCTACCTACCCAAACACTTATTCGCCCTTTACCACAGTTCATTCACCACCTCGCACTGCTGGATGGATTGTAGAGGACACAGAGGACGCTGCTTCTTCTAGCTCTGCTTCCCCGACATCTTCTGAGGAGTCTGATCCCATTGAGGATTATTCTCCTCTCGACTGATTCGGATAGTTTGTTTGTTGTTTTTTTAGGGAACTGCTCTTAGGGAGTCAGTCTGTTTCATTCCATGTGTCTCTGAACTACGTTGATTTTGTGCATTTTAATTATGTCATTTTACCTTATCAAGGTGTAGTACTCTGAGATTATCACTAAATATTTCCCTATCCATTGCATGAGGTTATTCAGTTATGATGGAGCATTATTGTTGTGGTTGTTGTTTTACTTAGTTTTGATATTGTACGTTGAGACCACAAATCCCTAAACAGAAATGTGATGTACTCGAGGTGAATTTAAAGAATGTGTTATCCTTCCGCTTCTCCTGTTTCAAAAAAAAATAAAAAATCCTGTTATTTTTAGGCATCACAATTAAGTGGTATCAGAGCAGTTCGGTCAAATGAGGCCTTGGGGCATGGCCTAACTGCCCAACTTCTGTGTGAATCTCTGAATTGTTTGGAAACCCTTATGGTTTGTGTGTTAGTGTGATTGTTACTTTGCGGTGACTGATTGACTTTTGAGAATTGATGTGCTTACTTGTATTTCAGAAAGTTATGGCTAGGAGAGTTAGGGATGATGTCATGGAAACCCTACTGGGGAGAGTAGTAGATATCTTAGAAAGACAGAATGAACCAGTTCTGAACCGTGGATTGTCCGAATTCCGCAAGAATAAACCCTCGCAGTTCCGAGGCGGATTTAACCCTGATGGTGCTCAACTTTGGATAGAAGAATTGGAGAAAATATATGAGGCAATGGTTTGCACCGAGGAGGAAAAGGTAACTTATGCAGCTTTCATGCTAGTGGGAGAGGCTGAATATTGGTGGCGGATTGCTCGCCAACAACTAGAGACTGAATGAATCATGGTAGAGTGGACCATCTTCCGCCACCGGTTCCTCGAAAAGTATTTTCCGGAAGACATCCGTAGGAGGAGGGAGCAAGAGTTTTTAACCCTGACTCAAGGACAGATGAGTGTCGGAGAATATGCAGCTAAGTTTGACGAACTGTCAAAATACTGTCCATATTTTGCTCAAGCTGATGATCGGTCTAGGTGTTCTAAGTTTGAAAGCGGACTTCGACCTGATATCAAACAAGCTATTAGCTGTCACCAAGTCCAACATTTTCCAACCTTGGTGGACAGATGTCGAATATATGAGAATGACACCAAAGCTCGCCAAACTCTGTGGAAGCAATCAGGTCCTCATCGCCCCGCTCATAGTTTCGGATCAAGGGGTAAAGAAGTTCAAGAAAAACGTAAACCGTATTTTACGCCAACAAGGAGTTATTAGAGCGAACCTGTAAAAAGCCAGAGGTCAAGCAGTGGAAGCGTAAATCGACCACCCTTGATGTGCTACAACTGTGGAGGTCCTCATTTCAAATCTCAATGCCGTCAGCATCCTAACCCTTGTCCTAAATGTCAAAGAACGGGCCATCTTGGTCGCTTCTGTAGACAACCTACCCGCAGCAATGACACTATCTCTGCGGGAACGAACCGAAGAAACCCTCGTCAAGGCCAAAGGAATTCCAGTAATCAGGGTGAGGTGAGAAGTCAAAACCCCGTTAACGTATCTCGAACATCGGTAGGAAGACCCAGTACAAGGGGGAGAGTATTTACAATGAGTGGTGCTGAAGTTGCTCAATCTGAAAACCTAATCCAAGGTACATGCATTCTAAATGGGACATCCCTTAATGTGTTGTTTGATTCAGGCGCCACACATTCCTTTATCTCTGAATCTTGTGTGAGGCGATTGAAATTACATGTTCTTGTCATGAAATGTAATATTGTTGTTTCTACCCCCACTAATAATCCCGTAACCGCATCCCATGTTTGCTTACATTGTCCAATTCAAATAGAGGGCAAGAGCTTTCTTGTTAATTTGATATGCTTGCCTCTTACCAACCTGGATATTATCTTGGGAATGGATTGGCTCTCTGCCAATCATGTCCTTTTAGATTGCCAACTTCGTAAATACATTCCTGATCCTTCACATGTAGTGGTACTTGACCAAATTTCTTTGAAGGAGAACCTGACTTTTGAGGTTGAACCCGTTCGGATCAGTGATCGAAAGGTTAAATAGCTTATGAATAAGGAAATCCCTCTGGCGAAAGTGCATTGGAACGCTGATAATGTGGAAGATGCCACGTGAGAAAGAGAGACTGACATGAGAAATGCCTATCCGCACCTATTCAACTCAGGTTAGAAATTTCGAGGACGAAATTTTTCTAAGTAGGGGAGTTTTGTAACGCCCTAATTTTCTTCAATTAGTAAGTAATGTCAGGCTAGAGATTTATTATTGAGTAATCTATAATATTTTATACTTGTTCAATGTTAATTGAAGGATTATTTGGTATTGGAATAGATTTAGATGGAGTTTGAAATTATTTAAAAAAAAAAAAAAAAGTGAACAGTGCAAACCGCGTACAAACCGTGTATGAACAGTGCAAAACCGCGTATGAACAGTGAAAACCGCGTATGTATAGTGACTGCTGACGTCATCAGTGACATCATCATGACGTCATGGCTGACGTCACATACGCGTATAGTGCGTATACAATACGCGTGTACAGTATTTTCCAGCATGAATAGTGCTCTGAACAGTGTTTCCGGGGTGAACAGTAAGGCGGTGAACAGTGTTTCCGGCGATGAACAGTAAATTTTGAAAATTTTCTATAAAAAGGGGGCTTCACACGAAATTTAACCTATGAACTACGTTTTGAATGGTTTAATATGCTATTTTAAGATGTTTTGATATGATTTTGTTAGATCTATTGAATAAAAGCTATTTTCTAAGCTGTAACTGCTGTTAATTGATTTAAAATGCTGAGATTTTGGCTGATCTATCTTAAACTTGCCTTAGCTGAGCTGTTAAAATAATTTTGGCGGTGTGCATCATGCTGAGATATATGTTTTGCATCATTATAGAGCCGAGTTACATGTTTAGGTGGGTAGACGTGTAACGGTAAGTTCATGCTGAGCTGCTGTGCTGTGCTGTCTGGATCCAGATACCGGAATGGGTCGCTCCCGGACCGGCTCGGTTCCTTCTGGATTACTTAGGCTGTGAAACCAGTTGGAAACCGTTTTCATGCTGTGCATTAGATGGGCTGGAAATGCATGGGATTATTGCTGTGAGAAATATTTTGCTCTATATATATGATTTTATTTTAAGTTTGGTAAGCTCACCCTTGCATTTCTTTCTATGTCGTTGTGTGCGTGTGTACTGCGATGATCGTACGGTGGTACGTGAGCAGATGTAGCAGGTGTTGCATCTACTTCACAGGCTGAGGGGCCAGTGAAGAAGTGTTAGAAGCTGGGGTCAAGTAATACTGCATCAAAGTTCTTTTTCCCTTATATTTTAAGACCTAATGTAGAGGGAGCTATGTAGTATAATTTTGGGTATTTTTGAATATTATGAACTAAATGTAATATTATGTTGTTCTGTCGGATATTTGTTGTAAGAAACTCTGTTTTATTTTGAATGAGAAGAGAATTTCATAATTATATTTTCTATACTTTATTTCAAATAAGTTTGTGATGTAGAAACAATGTTCTCGGTTCCTTATAAAAAGGGGTCGTGCCAAGTAACTCTTAAATCTTAATTATTTGCTAGTTCCAGCTTGCTAGTGTCAGAATAATTAGCTAGATGCTGATTTTTATTTTATTCTCTGAGGAAAATATTAACTTGATCTCTAAGTTCCGCATTTTAGAATGACTGCATGCAATACATTTAGCTTCAATATCATCCAAAATTATTCTGACTGTGTTCAGCTGTACTACCCAAAATACCCCTGAGAGTCTTGTTCGAAAAGCTAATTTTTGTATTATTTAAATTATTGTCAAATCATAATTATCTGCCTCAAAAAATGTGAGATTTTGTAATCATTTCAAAGATTTAGTAATTATTGCATTAGATTTTTAATCATTTCTTAGCCGTCAAAATTGTTTCACGAAATCTCACAAAATCTGGTAATCATTACCTTAAAGATTTCCAAATCTAGTACCAGCCACTAGATTTTCATGCAATATGACCTTGTTGTGACACCTTATTTCTACCAAGATCCCATTTCACTATATTAAAAATAAAGGTTTCTATAAATTGGTGCACCTGAAATAAACGTGTACATAAGACCACTCCAGTCATTAACATAACAGATTTACTTACTATTTACAAACATTTTCATGAGGAAATTAATTGCAACATTCAAGTTCCGTTATTCGAACCCAGACACATCCACAGATAGACATAATAAAATTTCTCAATAAAACCATGAGTCAAATCATCGCAACCACTTGAGCTAAACTAGAGGAATAATAATTCAATATAGAGACTCTATTGAATCCTTTCATTCTCTAATCACATATCCAATTATTTCAGTATCTCAACAATATATTAATCATATTTATTATTCATTATAAGCATCCGTGAATGTAATTTCATAATAACGATAAAACATGCAATTTAATATCGTACAACTATTCGAAATAAAATTGAAATATAACAAGAAATTTATATTTATGAAAAGTAAATCATCCAAACCCAGTTGTCCAAGGTAAAATAATAGCAAAATAAAACCCTTAAAATGCAGTATTTAAAAAAAAAAGTGAAACAATTGGAGTCCTACGAGCAGTGTAAACCCATGACAAAAATATAAACAATCTATATATAAAATTTAATGGAAAAGAATCTTCACCCGGATCAGATTCTGTAACACCTAAATTACTACCAAGATCCTATCTCCTAAAAATATATGTATTTAGACTTCCCTAAGATAGTGTACCCAATTGAACATGAACAAGGAATTATTCATTCGACATTAGTGTGGAACTAAACAACAATTTCACAATTTAATTCATAGGTGAGGGTACATTATCCTTCATTTCTTCATTCAATCTGTTCGTTACCAAATCATGCATATTGTATTACGTTTTACTAGTGTACTTGAAATTTCTTCAAATTAATTTCTTTTTATGAAAGAGATAAAGGTGAGTGCTCAACATCACATGCTTCGTGGAATGGAATTCTGAAATCATAATGAGAGACATGTAAATAGGGAGAAAATTTTGATTTTGTGCATATACGTCTCTAGTGTAAACGGTTCAAGGTAAACCATCGTAAAACGAACAAAAGAGAAGACCTCATGGTTCAGTATTTCAAAATTAATTATAAACAGCCCCCAAAAAGAAAGGAAAGTATAAAACTTAAGAGCAGTGTTCATCCATGACAAAAAATAAAAATAAAACATCTACATATAAAACTCTGGTGGAAAGGAATCCTCACTAGGATCAGATTCCATTCCATCAGAATCAGGTGCAGCATCCACAGGCTGAGGGCGAGGAGAGGGTGGCAAGTCATCCGGGTCGCTGTCAATCCAACCGATAGTAGGCGGTGGCGATCTCGAGGTGGGTGGCAGTGGTGGAGAAGGGTGTCGGGTGGAAGGTCTAGATTCGTCGGAAGGTGGCGCCTGAATATCGAGAGGTTGACGAGGGACTGGCCTGACAGAAGACGCAACCACTCCAATGTCTTTCCATTCAGGTGTGGGCGTAGGAGTAGGGCTAGGACAGGGGCTGGGTTCAGGGTCAAGGTCAATGATAGTTTTACCTTTATCCACAAAAGTCTTAAGATGTTTGGCGGGAGGTTCATGAGACGGTGGAGAAGAGGGAGGTGTATGAATGATGATACTCCGTTCGGGTGGTAGGGGCACGGAGATTTCGGCAAAAATGTGGTCCATCCAGTTGAGCTTCCATTCGCCTTCAGTGAGAGGTCCCATGGACATGGAGACCATTCCCTGGTACGTCAAGCGGCGCGTTGCTGGGTCGTAGATCCATCCCTCCTTTCCTCCTGAATCCTCTCCCCAAATCCTCGCTCGGAGTGGGTCCATCTACCATGCATTCATGCGACACACAACAACAGCAAGACAAGACGCAACACCAGACAAAAATAGAACAGAAAGGGTGAGCTCAATATATTCAATTATCAAAAATCGAATAAGTAAGAAAATCAGCATAATAGTAACGAACCTACTGACTCATAGTTCAATAATCACATTATCATAACATAATATTCATCAAACAGGCACAACGCAAATAAAGTGAATGAGATCCTCATAACATAATTATACTCAAGGTAATTGAAACGTCACTACTTCTTCAGTTTGTTCTGACTATTCCTCTAGTCAAGGTGATCGGAGACCCTCGTTCCCTACAAGCACACATTGTATGTAATCCATCAAGCATATTCTCCCAACTTAACCATTTCGGTTCCTCAGGAACGAGTCCTTCCACGATCCTCGATAATGCTTGCTCGCGTCAAGATTAGTGGAGGTTTCGATGGCGACGTGTCCCGGCCGCGGTGAGCTATTCCGCACCATTGGGGCAACCCCCCTCCACTACCCCTAAGGTTCTTCCCTCAAACCTGAACACTCACATCCCTCAGCTGTGCTAGACTGTAACCTTAACTCTCCATCCTCCATATCATGCACATAAAGAGTTTCGTAACCGCATCCTCCTTACACCATTTTTGAACGCACATTAAATTCCCAAAGGTCACAAACCACATATCCAAATCCATGCTCATAAGAGCTGGTATGTTCAAAGAATAAAAGAACCATTCGTTCACGGTCCAAGAATAAAAGAAAAAGGAGAGAAGATGGAGATAGTTATAAAAATTTTGTTGAAATATCATAGTCGAAATGTACCTTAACAAACAAAATGATCATCAAAGAATCATGAAAATAACCACAAGTTTAATCACACATGCAACTCATTTCTACCACAAATTTTTCGTAAAATAGTGATTAGGTGGTAGGAGAATTCTTTCATGGTTAAGAAAAAGGGTTCCTTGGTCATACAGAATCAAACCGAGAGAAAAAGGTGAGTAGTTCCTCAGTTAAAACAAAAAGGAAGGAGGGTAGTCGATGAAAACCGAAAAGAACACAAGGATTTATACAAAGATTTCAATATTATCAACATGCAAAACTATTTTAGCTTCAATCAAGTTCACGCAAGTTACAAAACATGGATTTTTAAAACACCATCCAAATAGAATCACCACGAGATGAAGGAAAATGGTTTGCATGAAATTCTAATTGATGAAGGTTGGAGACGAAAACAAGAAGAAGAGAGTGCATGCAGAGTTTACAAGTTAACAAACAACCACATGCATTCAAGCGCAAACAAGAGCTCCCCTAACCTTGTTTGGTATGAGAAAGAGAGATAGAGTGGAAGGCTTGGTCTTGGTACTAGCAGGATCTTGATCACAACTTGAGTCCTTGGTGTTTTGTCGCCTCCTTGAGGTTGGTGATAGAGTGTGTTGTCCACCAGCAAAAAAGGTGAGTAGAGGTTTTGTGAGAGGGTGAGAATGTGTCGAGAGAGAAGAGAAGTGGTGAAGTTGAGAGTGTTTTTGAAAATAAGGGAAAAAGGGCGCGTGAGGATTAGAAGGTGTTCTTATATAGTGTGGCTTAAAGCTTTGCCCATTTGTCTTCCAAAGGCTGGCGGTGAGTTGCATAAGAAGGGTTTTAGGGTTAGGTTAGGCGAAGTGACACACCCTTTCGCCTTCTCACTTGAATAGTCACGTCTCATGGTGTCCAGGTGCAGGTGATGCACCTTCTCAAGAGCATTCAATGCACAGAGTGTAAAAGAAGCAAGCCGTGGGTGATCCACACATCTCCACACGCCATTCATCATGATGGAGTAACCGAAATGGGGGTTTGGCCTAGGTAAGAGTGGGTAATTAATGCACGTTGGCGGCTAGGGTTTGTTGTGGAGGGAAGCGGATTCAAACCCTTCGTGTCCCACAAATTGAAAAGGGTGATGTTATTTTGAGTGGTTAGTGAAAAGGTGGTGCCTTTCTCTTTGCCTTGGATGTGTGGCCAGTGCCATAACACAGGAAATAATTGCATGCGATTAATGGAGCATAATTTCCAGAAATATGTTGCTAAGTTTTTGGCTGTACATTAAGTGCAGGCTGGCGGCTAGGTCAACTCCAGAAGGAAGTTGAGTAGGTTTTTCCTTTGTTTTTCTCATGAGGTTAAATGCGGTTAAGAGGTAAATTAGGTAACTTTAATGATGGTTTAAATGAGGCAGGAGAGGCCCCTCGGTTTTAAGCAATTTAAAACATGGTTATTAGGAACAAAATAATGTGAATGATTGATTGTTTTCGGTAATGCCATGCAATTAATGCAGGGTGGCTACTTAAATTTTCTGATGGAAGGTGGCGCCATTTTTGGCCATGCATTCACACAAATCTCCCTAGGGTTTTACCATAAATACAAGGTAATTAAGGAAGGAATATACATAGTTGAAGTCAGGCACGGTTCTGGGGAATTAATTGCCTCAGGTGGAACGTTTCAAGTTGATTGGCACGCCCACTAAATGCATGTAACTGATTGGATTAATGTGGAGGGAATCAAGCAGGCGCCTTTTCACTCCCCTATGGTATTTAATGTAGGTGGGTAATTAAGGGAGTTTAATGGCGGTTAAATGAGGAAATGGGGGGTTTCTTCGAGTAAATGGAAAGGCAAGGGTATCTTCTCTAATTAACTACAAGATTCTCGCTAATTTATTATTAATAACCTACCTTAATTAAATGTGCACGAGAATATGGAAAGTTTATAATTAAGGAAAGGAATAAAACTCCATCCTCGTCTACACCTAATTAGAGTAACTAGGGAATTGATAATTGTATTAAGTGCAATTATTTAGGCTCAGAATCTAGGTCATTATGGCCAGTGTCTTTCTCTTTCCTACATAAACAAATAACGAAAATCTGATTACCTTATTTAAAAGAGGGGTATTAAATAAAATCATGAGGCACATTAATGAATAGGGTGGCAATTATGTGTAAGTGCCGAGAATATGGAAAGTTTCCTTCTAGAAGACGATTGGGGCTTTAAATTTTCGGTTTCACTATATATATATAAAAAAAAGGAAAGTTTTTAAATAAGATCCAATCAAAATATGGCAGTCCAAGAGGTGGCAGTTGTATTTATTTAGGGTAACCTGGAACAATGGAATTGCATTAAGCATACTTAATTTGGGGCTAGAATCCTAGGCTATTAAATTCGATTCTCCCCCCCTGGACATGAATGAATTTTCGGTTACTAGCACTAAATGAGGAAAGATTAAAACTTGCCTCTTGGGTCCTTTGTAGTACACGTGACTTCTAGGGTAAAAAAAAAAAAAAGATGATGGCTCTCATTAATGGTCTAACTTAGTGTGCATGGTACCAGAATACTGTAAGACTTAAGTACATCCACTATTAGAACCTAATGAACATTCAATATAAATAAAGAAAGTTACACGTGCAGTTCCACTTAAATTTAAGAAAGCACATCACACAATCAAATAATAAGAATTAAAAGAACTATGTAACATTAATAACAATCATTAGGGGAATGAAAGAAATAGGGTCCATTCATCTGACTCAAAAGACTATCTCGCCCCCAGGCTAATCTCACTAACCTTGGGTTAAGTCAAGGTAACTTCATCACATAATCATATAGACATACACATACGAAATTAACTAAACACACCCTGGGAGAAATAATTGTGCAAGCAGGGAACATAATATGATTAAACAGTTGTAGCAAGAACTGAACTAGAGTACTAAAAATCAAACAAAAGAGTCACTAATTAATAATTAACACTCTCTGCTATGTAGACCGAAATTTAGGATGTTACAAATTCCACTCCATCAGAATCGAAAGCTTCATTCGCTGGCTGGGGACGGGGAGAAGGCGGCAAGTCATCCGAATCACTGTTGATCCAACCGATGGTGGGTGATGGTGAGGGATGTCGTGTAGAAGGTCCAGCTTCGTCGAGAGGAGGCGCCTGAATTCGTAGGGAATGGCGGGGTACTGGTCTGATGGAAGACTTAACAATTCCAATGTCTTTCCACTCTGGTGCAGGAGAAGGGCTGGGACAAGGAGTAGGTTTTGGGTCAAGATCTATAATAGTTTTACCTTTATCAATAAAGGTTTTAAGCCGTTTAGCAGGGGGTTCTTGATGTGGTGGAGAAGGAAGGGGCAAGTGAATGATAATGCTCCTCTCGGGTGGCAAAGGTACAGAGATGTTGGCAAAAAGGTGGTCACTCCAATGGGGCTTCCAGCCACCCTCAGCGAGAGGTCCCATGGTCATAGAAATCATCCCTTACACGAGGCGGCGCGTTGCTAGATTGTACGTTCATGCCTCCTTCCCTCTAGAGTCCTCTCCCCAAATCCTTGCTCGCTGTGGGTCCAACTATCACACAGTCATACAAACACACAAAAGAATGCCTAGCAGAGGAATCACAAAAGAAAGGGTGAGTTCCAACATGATAATCCATTAGTAATCAATTAAATAAGATAATCAAAATGAACCTAAGAGTAAACAAGAAATTGAATCTCAGGGAACACATATTCTCAGATCTTGTACCCAACCATACAGTCACACAACATAAACAAAATAAGAGAAATCAATTAACAATCCAAATCAGACATATGCCACTCATGATATTACTACTTCCTCGATTTTCAACATTTCTCCAGTCAAGGTGATCGAAGACCCTCATTCCCAACTGATGAATCCATATTTTTACTAATATTTTAGTGTATTTCTAACCCATTTGAGAAGGAAAATATATAAGAAAAGCAGAAAAATTCAGAAAAATAGAATGACTAAAGGTTTTCTTTAAATATGTAGTTATTTTAGCATTTGTGAAATTTCTGCTTAGAAATTAAGAATCTAATCTTATTTTTGTAGGAATAATCTGAGCAATGTTCATGGAAAAGTGTAACATCCTATATTTTGATTTAAATAAAATGAGGTTTGTTAAAGTATAATTGGAATAGATTTGGATAGAATTTATTTTAAAAAAAAAAAAAAGTGAACAGTAAAACCGCCT